ATAAATATGATGTTGGGATGCCCCAGGCGGCTCGCGGAGCAGCTTCCAGTCTCCAGAGTGGCAGAGCCGTACGGTCTGGAAAGTCAGGCGGGCGGTTACGGGGGGATAAAAGGCTCACAGGACATAGTATTATTTAAAGAAAAGGGAGAGATTTATTGCTTAAAGACGAGGAAAACAGAGAGACATAGGAAAAACGTAGAGAGAACAAAGACACACGTACACACCACACGACACAAACACACCAGACAAACACACCAGAGAGAGAAGATGGCGACGAGGGGGAGGTCAAAAGTGGCTGGGGTGGGCGTGGTTAGTTCTTAAAGTGTCCCAAAGTAATAACAAACTGACCTTGGGCAGCGGTTACACACGCCTTTAATCACAGCCCTACGGAGTCAGAGGCAGGCAGATCTCTGTGAGTTCAAAGCCAGCCTGAGTTAGTTCTAGGACAACCAAAGCTGCACACACATACACACACACACACACAAACACACACCCTGTCTCAAAGACAAAAATGAAAACAAAAACAAAGCTGGACGGTAGTGGCGCACACCTTTAAGCCCAGCATGAGGAGGCAGAGGCAGGTGGATCTCTGTGAGTTGGAGGCCAGCCTGGTCTATAAAGTGAGTACCAGGACAGTCAAGGTGGTTACTCAGAGAAACTCTGTCTTAAAAAACAAAACAAAACAACAACAACAAAAAACCAAAGAAACAAAACAAAATTAAGTAAAGCTAAATGAGCCAGACATAATGGCACCTGACCACAGTCCTAGAGTTTGGGAGGTAGAAGGTAGGAGGTTTAGGATTTGGGGCGACATAGTGACTTTGAGACCATCGTGAGCTACATGAGGCTGAAAATAATCACTAAATACAAAAGTTTTTTAAACCATCACAGAGTATACAATATAAAAGGGAAAAAAATTAATGGAAAAGAAAATTGAGGCTGGAAGAATGGCCTAGCTTTCAAATCCATCTGTGTTCTCCACAGGATCAGTGGGAATACCCAACCTACAGAGGAGAAGATTTTTCTAGATTTGACCTCTGTGGACCTTTGGGTTTAAATGACTCAGTGAGTGAGTATCCCACATAGTAAAAAATAACCCAGATGTACACCTTTCAGCAACATTTTCAGTAAAAAAGAACTAACAAAACTTCAAGAGAAAAATGCTTGTCATCAATGAAGAAAAAGAATGAGTCTATTTTAAAGTCAGCATCAGTGATACCAGTTGTTGTAGGGACAAAGCTTCCTATTTCTGGCAGTAAATTCTTGCTGTCTCAACTGTCAGCAAAGTACCCATTTGTGCGAAGGTAGAAGAAAAATACCTTTTTCCTTTTTTTCAGAGACACAAAGGCTCAGAACGCTTTCTTAGCTTGAAGCTTTCCCTGTGTGCCTGGAACATTTTCTTAGCAAGCAATTTACAGTCATTTTCCAGGAAAGAGACAGCGGTGCATTTAGGAACAGATGAATCAGAAGTGGCCGTGCTATTGACCCACTGGACAGAGCCCATAAGTGGAACAGAGGCAAATCTCCAGGAGGGACAGCAAGCCCGGTCAAAAATACTAGACCAAAGAAGGACGACGCAGTATGAAAAAGAAAAAAAGAACCCAAGGGAAGCAAAAATCTGTACATGACCGTCATGGATCATATATGAAGAAAACAAACTGTCATATGTGATTCTTTTAGCTTCAAAGTTTTGATAAGTTACCAAAAATTTATACTTAACTTGACGTTTATAGTAGGAATGTACTCCTGGTATATCCAGCCCCGGTAGATCATAATCTTGAGTCAGTCAGAAAAATAGGATTCTAGCAGATAAAATACCCCAAATTGAGCAATATTATCTTGTAATAAAAATGTAAATAGCTTTATTGGGGATTAAATTATTGAAGTCTACTTATAAAAATATCACAGAATAACAAGTGATAAATGGGTGGCTTTAATTAGGCAAAAATAAAAATATAGCTGATGGTCAAATAGACGCAGAAGACTGAGAGACTGTGGGTAAAGAATGTGGTAAAGTGTGCATCTCATATGGTAGAGGTAAAAGGGATGCTGTCCATGCTCAGTGGACTATCACATAGACATTATCTTCTTATGGTTACAGTGCTTCTCAGATGACTTTAAAACACTTCTTCACCCGTCATTAAGGGATCAGTAGTGTTTTAGTTAGGATTTTACTTCTGTGAAGAGACACCATGACCTCGGCAACTCTTATAAAGGAAAACCATTTAATTGGGGCTGGCTTTACGGTTCAGAAGGTCAGTCCATTATCACGGTGGGAAGCATGGCAGCATGCAGGCAGACGTGGTGCTGAAGGAGGAGCTCAAAGTTCTACACCTGTATCTGCAGGCAACAGGAAAAGAGAGCCTCTGGGCCTGGATTGAGCTTTCAGAACATCAAAGCCCACCCCTACTGACACACTTTCCCCAACAAAGCCACACTAATTCCAACGCGATCACACCTCCTGATAATATTACTCCCTATGAGTCCATGGAGGCCATTTTTATTCAAACCACCACAGTGAGGTAATAAAACAAGCTCAACCTTGTCATACTGTGGTGAGAACAATAGTATTTAAAGTGAGTAAGTCAGGAACAAAGACTACAAGCCTGTCCTCCAGCGTTGTGTTAGCATCATCAGCATAACACAAGCCAGAAACTGCTGGGAGTGGCCCTTTGAGGTGGGTACCCAAAGATGCAGGTGGGTAACAGATCGGATAAAAACAAACCGCTAAAGCATCCATTCATTATTACACATTGGGAAAGAAGTAAATACTATAAAGGTACATAGGGATGCATAGGGATGTATAACTGTTTGAAAACCACACACACACACACACACAGAGAGAGAGAGAGAGAGACAGAGACAGAGACAGAGACAGAGACAGAGACAGAGACAGAGAGAGAGATACACGCACATACACCCACACGCACGCATCCACATGTGTGCACACACCTTTGCCCATACTATCTACTCACTCTTGTTTTCTGCTTCCTGTTAATTTCTGTTTGGATTGACCCTCAGCATGGTGCTGAAAATAGATACTCAAAGAGATCTAATAGAGTTTCTTGTTGCTGGTGAGCTAGGATGAGGGAAGTAAGGAGGCCTGCTGGGAGATAAGAAACATACGTTGAACCTGAGAAGAGGGCCAGGTTGTAGGGCACAGCTGTCCCCAGTAGCTGGGGCTTTGCAGAAGAATCACCCACAACCAGGCAGAAGGAAGCTGGCTGGGGCAAAGAGACCTCGTTTCTCACCCTGCTTCATGGATTAGGGTCCATCCTTCCAGGTAAGGGCTGGATGGAGAGGGCAGGGAGTCTGGAAGGGACAAGACAGTCTCCAGCACATCTTCCAGACCCATGCACACACAGCTCTGTCATCCATCACTCAGCAGCTGTGACTGCTGTGAACTCCTAGTTCCTATTTCCAGCTGAGGGCCTGGAGTCTGCTTTATTGTGGTCAGTTTCCTGGGGCCACCATCCTAGTGCAATCAGCCGCAGTGGACACAGCAGGACTTCAAACCAATGCTAGCAGGCCCATTCCACGTGCAAATGCTTGTCCATGAAACAGTAACCATCGCAGCAACGTGACTGGTTTGTCACGTTTGTTGTTTGGGGCTTAAATGGTAACAGTGCCATCTCCAGAGAGCCTTCTGCCATCCAGATGTGGTGATATGGCTCTGTGATATGCACTGCTACCCTGCACCTGGGCCTGAAGCATTCTAGATGAGGGAGTGCAACAGAAGGGATTAGTAGTGAGGATTCCCAGGGAGTGAATACATGGGAGGAGCCTGGGGCGGGGCTTGGGGGGGGGTTCATTTCACCAAGCAATGACTTCTGACTGTAGACCTCGGCTCCTGGACACCATTCCTCCCACATCTCTGAGAAAAGCAAGAAAAATTAATGCTGTTTTTAAGAACTGGCCCTCTCCCCTCCTTCTTTGTGTTTCCAAGAAGAATCTTACAGCAGCTTTTCTACTCATCTGAAATGTTCCTGCCAGGGAAACAAGACAAAGGTTACACAAGGTCATTATAGTCTTATGACGCCACATGAGTGTGAGCTTACACCTGCCTCAAATGTAAGCAAATGTACCTAATGTTTTTAGTAAGAGCACATTTCATAATTTTTTTTTCTCCGAAGGTAGATCTCAGTAAGGATGGGTAGAAGGCCAGCTTTCAGAAATGATGGATGTGTTTACGGCCTTGGTGGTAGTGATGGTGTCCACGTACACACGTGTCCCTGGCACTATTGAGATGTAAACACATACACCTGTTCACGTTTACCTTTCACACCTCAAGAAGGTGGTGTTGTTTTTTAAGTTAAGACTTAGGTTATAGACTTCGGGTCTGGTTAATTTTGCTGTGTGATTTTTTTTATAATAAAGTTAACTTTTGAAAAAAAAACTCCACTTTTAACTCTGCAGATAAAAATATCTGAACAAAGGATAGTCCATAATCTCCTTTTTAGAAAGGATAAATAAATATTAAAGTGACAGTATAAAAAACTAATCATCTCTTTCTTCATCGAGGAGCTGGGAAGTACCACCTGCCTGTCAGGCGGGCGCTGTCCTAGGTGCTGAGGACACACAGTCTAAAGCAGGCCAGAGCCCTGCCTGCTTGAAGCCAGCATCCCAAAGCAGGTGGTTTGATCAAGGCCCCATTCCATTGATTTTCATAAAAATCCATTCAAATTACATTGTTGGCCAAGGCCGCTTGTTCATTTCCCGGTTGCCCAAATCCGAAATAATTACACAGAAACTGTGTTATTACAACACTTTTTGGCCTATTAGCTCACGCTTCTTTTTGGCTAGCTCTTATACCTTAAATTAACCCACTTCTATTAATCTGTGTTTTGCCATGTGGTTGTGGCCTACTGGTAAGGTTCCATCTAGCATTCAGCATCTGTCTCCTGTGGAGGCTACATGGCTTCTCCCTGACTCTGCCTATTCTCTCTCTACATCTTTTCCAGCCTGGTTACATTCCGTTAAGTCATTGGCCAAAAGCAGTTTCTTTATTAACCAATGGTATTCTTAGCATACAGAGAGGAATCCCACATCATTACATAAATGGTAATTCCAAAGTACCTACAAGGCAGAGCTTCCAAGTGCCCAGATGATAGCTAGCTGCTTAGGTTTCCTGGACTGTTTGACAAGACTCAATCTTTGTAAATACCAGCCTTTGTCCTAAGTCAGAAATAAAGGAATCAATCATTCTTCTCTATGCTCTCCTGTCCCTGAAAACTCACAAGAAATTGATCCCAACACTCCCTTACAGACTACCATATCTAGATTCTAAAACTCCTTTATAGAGGATAGGGAGCTGATTGCCTATAACCCTATAACTCCTCTTCAGATTGTGTATGACATGCTGTGATGAAAGCAGCATGCAAATCATATTGCTTAGAGAACAGTGGCAAGGAGGAGTCTACCTATGTTCCGTTCAGTCTCCGCTGGGGCTTTCTGAGTATTTCCTGGGTTGGCTGGCTAAATGCATAGATGTGAAGTTCTCACATGTTAAGCCACCAGTACCTGTAAACTTTAGACCATGCTCCACTCCGCCAGGTTTCCAATAACTGACTCTTTTCTCTCTCCCTTCTTGCTCTAGACTGTAGTGTCCTACTAGGGAGCTGTGCAAACACATGGCTCCCAGAGAGACAGGAGAAGAATGCAAACCCCAGCTAGCCATTCCAAAGGAAGATTTCTCCCAACGATTCAAGAGCACTAGAGATCCCTCGGCATCAAATGAAAAGATGCAGCCAGCAAACAGAAAATGAAAGCCACCCAAGCGCTGGAGGGTGCCCTTGCAGCCAGTTCTGTCCGGGTCCCGAGTTTCTCGTCAGGATGGCCTGTAACAGCACACCCATTGGGACATACGAACATCTGCTGCTGAATGGGAGCAACGTTTCGGACCCCGGGGCCACACCACTGTCCACACCGCTCAGGATCTCGTTGGCAATAACGATGTTGCTAATGATCGTGGTAGGGTTCCTCGGCAACACGGTCGTCTGCATCATCGTGTATCAGAGGCCGGCCATGCGTTCAGCCATCAACCTGCTGCTGGCTACCTTGGCCTTCTCTGACATCATGCTGTCCTTATGCTGCATGCCTTTCACCGCCATCACCCTCATCACCGTCCGCTGGCACTTCGGGGACCACTTTTGTCGGCTCTCAGCTACACTCTATTGGTTTTTTGTCCTAGAGGGCGTGGCCATCCTGCTCATCATTAGCGTGGACCGCTTTCTCATCATTGTGCAGCGACAGGACAAGCTGAACCCACACAGGGCCAAGGTGATCATCGCAGCCTCCTGGGTGCTGTCTTTCTGCATCTCTGCGCCCTCCTTCACCGGCTGGACGTTCATGGAGGTGCCGGCTCGGGCCCCACAGTGTGTCCTGGGCTACACCGAGTTCCCAGCCGAACGCGCCTACGTGGTGATGCTGGTGGTAGCGGTGTTCTTCGCGCCCTTTGGCGTCATGTTGTGCTCCTATCTGTGCATCCTCAACACGGTGCGGAAGAACGCCGTCCGCGTGCACAACCAGTCAGACAGCCTGGACCTCAAACAGTTGTCCAAGGCTGGCCTGAGACGGTTCCGGCGGCAGCAGCAGCAGGTCAGCCTGGACCTGAGCTTCAAAACCAAGGCCTTCACCACCATCCTCATCCTCTTCGTGGGCTTTTCGCTGTGCTGGCTGCCCCACTCAGTCTATAGCCTGCTGTCTGCGTTCAGTCGGCGGTTCTATTACAGCGCCTCCTTCTACACCACCAGCACGTGCGTCCTGTGGCTCAGTTACCTCAAGTCCGTCTTCAACCCCATCGTCTACTGCTGGAGGATCAAGAAATTCCGCGAGGCCTGCATAGAGTTACTTCCCCAAACTTTCCAAATCCTCCCTAAAGTGCCTGAGCGGATCCAGAGGAGAATCCAGCCGAGCACCGTCTACGTGTGCAATGAAAACCAATCCACCGTCTAGGGAGCAGGTCAGAGCAGGCCCACGGACCTCTCCGAATGGTCCCGGCCCGGACTCTGCTCTCTAGCTTTTAGCTGTCTGCGTTTTGTGGTGACTATACAAGCACAAAGGTACTCATTTGTTACCAGGTGATCTGTGGCTTTCAATTTTCCCATCTCCATAAGACGAATTGTTATTATTTTTCTCTCTCAGAAAAAGAAAGAAAACCTTATATAGTTCTAATGGGAATCGGGGCTTGCAGGAGCTGGTCAGAAAGTGAGAGGGGATGAGGGGAAGGGGAAAGTGAAGCTGGCTGAGGGTGGGGCAAGAGGAGGGCCTATCAACAGAGCACATCCCTTGCATCCCAGCCCCCACTCCACATGCTCAGGGGAAGCCCCTGGTGGCAGGTTGTGGTGCCCTTGTTCATGCTGACACCAGTATCTGCAGGGCCTGGGTGTGGCCCAGAGGTCTTCATAACGTTCAACTGTGTGTTTCTGATCATGACAAATTATCCTTTCTGGAAAGAAACGGAAATCACATTGGGATGTTCTTGAGGTCACCAGTGTGTCAGGGTAAGGTGTGTGTGTGGTGGTGGTGGTGGGGGTAACAGTGACCCAGAGCTCAGAAATGTACTTTGTGACAGCAAAAATGAAATGAGAAGTCCACCTGGGCTTGTGTTCACCCCTTCCCTATCTGGCTAGCGCGACAGTCTCCTTTGTCCCTGTCCATTCTTGGTTTTCATCCTTTCCAGTGTGCTAAGAACACACCTAGTGTTACTCGTCTGTTGGGCAAGTATTCGTAGCGACTTGCTCTCTGAAGCAGAAGCAGCCAGTGGCTTAGCTTTGTTTACACATCTCCTCTGGAAGACCCAGAGCCTTGTGAGGCACCAAATCCACATCGGCACCAGAACTGCTACAGGGACAGAACAGATACCCCCTCCTCAAAGCTGGGCTGGCACCCGTCCATCTCTGATCCTCCTACCTCACTCATGCCCACCTGCTGCTGTCAAATCCTCTTGCCCAGGACCCGAGCCTGGGAGGGAAGCTCCTTAGAGGAGACATTTGGCTTGGCCACTATGCTCGTGGCCACCCAGATGACCGAGGGCTTCTGGTGTAGGAAGGTGGGTTCTGCATGCCCAGGACGCAGCAGTGGGTCTATTGAGCTCTCTTTGCAAAGTCAGATGTGAAGAGAGGGAGAAATTAAGGAAATACGAGTCCAGGTCTGACTCTATCAGGGACCAGTCAGTCATCTTGTTCATTTCATCTTCTGTCAGCCTCAGTTTACCCATTTGTCAAAGGAGGAAATGAGTCTATGTGACTTCAGTCCCCTTGATGCTACACTTGCTCGTAGCCAAAAGACCCGGAAGAGATTAGTCCCCTTGATTCTAAACGGGGTGATTTTTTTTTTTTAGCCTGAAATCACCAGATCCCTTACATTCTTTTATTCATTTGTATGATGGGCATCTATCAAGTAAGTGCCTAATGGAAGGAATGTAATGGAAGAAATGTGCTGTGCAAGAGACAGTGACCAAAAGAAGGCTGAAATGCACCCAGAACTAGTAGTCTGATTTATCTCCAGGGTGCGAGAACTCAGCCCAAGAGCACAGACGTTCCAGTTGGCTTTGTTTCTTATTTCTTTTCAAGTTATACTCAGAGACCAGCTCCCTACTCTCCTACCCTCTTCCTGTGGTAGTGGTGATGGAGGCAGTGGAAGGAGGTGGGGTGTGAAGAGACCATAACTTATGTTAACCTCAGCCCTGGGGAGGGTCTGTCAGGAGAACGACTGACCAGTTTTCATCAGCCAAGAGGGAAAGAGAGAGAAGGTGGGACGGGCATGTAGCTTATTAAGGCTGGTGCCACCAATCTGATGCCTCTCCCAGTGATCCACAAGGCAAGGATTGGTCTCGGCTTCCATGGGTCAAGTTCACAGGGCCCAGTGGTACCCAAGAGAATTGCCAGACTACTGCGAGGGACAAGCCCATGGGCACCTCCTCTCCAGTGGTATTTTAGAGAAATTGTATTCAGGAACCTTGAACAAAGAGAAATCACAAAGCTGAGTGAAGGTACTAAAATTTACATCAATGTGTGTTATATGATATATGTTGGATAGTAATATATATGTTTCAAAGTAATAATTTTGTATATATTTTAAATAAAGTATTATGGCTCTTTCAGTGTATAAAGTCATGTTTTTGCCTAAACTTTTTTTTTTTAACCAAAGCTACTATTACAAACCTGGAATCCTGTGCCCAGTACCTACTTATCTGGTTGTTCATGGCACATCTTTAACTATGTAATTACAAACCACAAAAATACAGGTTTGATGGTTCTAAAAGCTGGAAGTCTAAGATCGAGGAACCAGCAGGTTTAGAGTCTGGAAAGGACCACTCTCTTGAGTCACAGAAGGTGCCCTGGTGCTATGTCATCACACACAGAAGCACAAGAGGAGGTTCCTTATGTGTGTGTGTGGGGGGGTGTGCATACGTGTACATGAGCATGTGTGTTCCCTTGTGTGTGTGTATGTGTGTGTGTGCATAGGAAGGCCAGAGGCTGACATCAGCTGTCCTTCTCTATTGTTCTCTATATTTGAAAACATAGAATAAAGATGCTAATTCTACTGAGGAGAGTGGAGTGAGCCCTCATGACTGAATCACCTCCCTACGGCTCCATCTCCTCACACCATCACACTGGTGGGAGGTTGCAACCTCAGAGTTTGAGGGGAACACTTTAAAACTGCAGCAATTCCAAAAACACAGTGAGCTCCCTGAAGCAGGCAGCCGGTGAGTCACCAGCAAGTTTGACAAAGATGGACGTGGATGGAGCAAGTGCTGCTTTGTTTCGGAATCATTTCTCTATTTCTCATTCTCTTTGGCCCACAATTTAGCCAGGTCCTGGGATTTCTGGGCTCTGTGATGTCAGAACAGCTCCATACATATATTTTTTTCTGTCAAGGCCTGAGGAAGAGAAAGAAAACTCTCAGCCACAAAATAAATAATTCCCACCCCATGAAGATGCCTGAAGCATGTGGAAGAGCCTTAGACATGAGACACAGTATCATATCCTCAAAGGGTCCGGGAACCAATTCCCTATAGATAGCTACATTTAGAGAGGCTCTGTCTCTTATATAAAGTGCTATAATATTCAAAGAACCAATGCACACACTTCTGGGTACTTTGAAGCACTTGTAGATGATTTAAAACTAAATGATGCACACATCACACAACTACACAACATATCACACTTCTTTCTTAAAAGAATGATGGGGGAAATCTGTTGGTATTTAGCACAAAGAATTTTTTTTCAAATATTTTCCAACCCTGGGTGGTTGACTCCATGCATGTAGGACCCAAGGATATTGTTCTAATTATAATGAATTCCAAAAACGCTATCACTTTTATTTTCAATTCTTTGCATTTATTTGTGTCTATGTGGTAGAAAAGCAGGGCACAGCATGTGTGTGGAAGTTAGAAGGTAATTTGCGGTAGTAAGGTATCTCCCTCTACCATGTGGGTCCAGGGAGTTGAAGTTGAGTTGTCTGGCTCGGTGACAAGCACCTTTACTCGCTGGACTGTCTCACCAGCCCTAATCATTTCATCTTCAACCTAGGTCTCCAGTGTTGGAGAAAAATAAAAGCAAAGGTTCCAGGCTGCAGCAATGGCTCAGCTAGTAAGAGTACTCACTGCTCTTGCGGGGTAGTACCCAGTTCTGGTTCCCAGCATCCACGTGATGACAGACAAGTGTCCTTCACTCCAACGCCAGGGCGTCCTGTGCCTTCCGCTGGCCTCTGCAGGCATCAGGCACACACATCACCAGACATACATATGTGCAGGCAAGAAACTCACACACGTCAATAGAGGTAAAGAAATCTTTAAAAGAAAAAACAGCAAAGTCCCAAAAGTGTTGAGAGCATTAAAAGGAGTCATGGAAATCTAGGTCAATTTCTCCTATTTCTGGACACGTGGGACTGAGTTCAGGACTGAGCACAGTCTGGGACAGAGTACATACAACTGCTCACTCCCTGTTTCATTCTGAGTATAACGGAGCACCCTGAACTCATGCCCCTCATCTGGGAAATAAAGGGAGTCGTCCCAGGCACAAAGCCTTGATGAAGAGCAAGCAAAGAATGAGGTGGTGTAGCTGGTAGGAGCGGGACTGTCTAGCAATCTCAAGGTCCTGGCTTCCACCCCCAGCCCCATCAACACAAACAAACAAATAGAAATTATGTATCTATCGGATAGAGCCCAAAGAAGGCCTGGTCAGTGGTAGGCACTGGGATTTGGAGACTGTAATTGTCTCAGAGGGACCGGGCACCTGCTTCTTCCTATCAGTTTGTACTTTTCATGGGCTAAGGTAGAACATGGTTAGAGAGACAGGCAGACGAATTTTTCTGAACTCAAATAGAACAGAAAGGGCTCTCCAATTAGAATAGCATCTGGCTTGATTTGGTTTGGTGCTGTCTACCTGGGGGTGACATCAAATTCCACAGGTTGGGGGCTCAGTCCCTCAGACTAGACAACTTCCCCTCCACACATTTCAGATAACAGCCCAAAGAGTAGCAGAAGTGCATGATGGCCTATAAGCCAGAGCTCCCATAATGCCCTGCTAGGTGTGATTAATTTGGTACAGCTGCTCACAGAACCCAGAGAGCCATTTTGCTTCCACTTATCCTGTTTTCACAGAGGAAACTGCAAAGGGTACAGTTGGGCAGGTAGGTGGAGGTAATGAGTGGGAGGAGGCCTGAAGGGAGGAGCACTCTGCCTCCCCACCCTCTCTACAGAATGACCATCCAGCAAAGCCACTAGGTAGCTCCCAGAAGTCCATCTGCACCTATCCTCTTTGGAGACTTCATTATACAAGGATTGTCAATGACACACTGTCACTGTGATCAACTCTCCTCTCATCGGGGCTTGGAGTAGGATTGAAAAATTTCTTTCCTCTAGACTGTATTGAGCTCTCTAGGGGCCAGGGCCGCTTGGAAGCAACCTGGAGGCCCTAGCCACACACAAGAGCATACACAAGAAATGGCTGATCTGAGAATCCCAGCGTTTGCGTGCCAGAACAAGGGGCAGCCCCCACCATGTGCATTTGTTATGCTATGGCGTGGTGTTCACCCTCACGTAGCTAAAGATTTCAAAGCATTAATGGACTTCCAAGGTAAACGTCTGCCAGATGGCCTTGGCAGTATCCCTTCACTCCACGCAAATTTCTGATGGGCTGTGAGCCCACCTATAGGGGTGATGGGAAGAATGGCCTGGACACCGAGTGCAGCCCCATCCTACACCTGGAGACAACAGCTGCATGTCCACACCTGCTCTTAGGGGGCCGTGCTGAAGGCTGCAGCACATGGAAGACCAGGGAGGCAGAATGAGCTGGAAGTCACCGTCTAGGTGAATTGCAGGGCTCATGCAGCAACGAAAGCCGGCACTGAAGGGCTTCTGGGAAGCAAATGTTAACTACTAAGTGGCGAGGCGCGCTGGTTGTCATTCAGGCTGTTTCCTTGGCCTAGTTCCCCATTACCCTCTTCACAGTTACAGCCTTCGTAGTGTGGACTAGTCAGGGCTGCCACCACTTGGTGCTCCCGCACAGGAGGGTGGGGCCGGAATGGAGAAGCATGTGTCGTCAATGTTCAAAGCATAACCTGTCTCCCATGAGCATACAAGCATGGGCAGCCCCCAAAGAAGGTTGGCAACTGGAGGGCTTTCTCAGGAGGCTATATGCCTAGTATAGTTTGCTACTCCTAGAAGAAAAGGAGGGATGTAGAGCATTCCCCATAGTATCTCCCAGTGTGCCACACAATTTTAAAATAGATGAGAAATCCCAGAATGCACAGCATCTCTAAAGTCCTAAGTGTGAATTTCATACATGAGTTTTTGCCCTTGACAAACAGACATATCGCTATTCCATCAACTGAAGAAGGTGGGCTCTCTTTTTACCTCAAGTCCTCAAAAGTTATAGCCTTATGTGTAGTGGCCTAGACTGCAGGCGGTGACTGCCTGCAAGGAGGGGAAAGGCGACCTTTTAGACTTCTCAGACAATGGGAGACATAAAAGTGAAAGGGAAAGTTTGTAGCCACATAGGGATGAACTTCGCTAACACAAATAAAAAAAAATATCAACGCAAAACTAATGGACAGAACTCTAAGAATCCGCCTAGGTTGAAGGAAAGGGTTAGTTCGAAGCCCCGGCTGCTGTGTAGTAGAGACTGGATGCTACCGACAGAGCGCGTCATGGGCTGACCAGATCACCGTGGTAATTTAAACCTTTAAGGAGAGATTTGGGGGCTCTTGCTGCTATCTCAGTGTCTGGATTTTAAACTAATAGCAGACAAGGCATGAGGGGTGTGTGTCACTCTGGGCAAGTGTCCCAGGTGACCGCAGTAGAGAGTCCTGTAGTGACAAGACACTCTGGGAAGAGGAGAGGTGCCAGAGAAAGGCATGGTCAAAGGAGGGACAAGCGAGGACCCATACATAGCTTCCTCAGAGGGCCACTCTACAGCTTCATCACTCGCTAGTCTCATGGCGGCAGAAAGAGGTCTTTTTATTTGTTTGCTTTTGTTTTCTAATGAGAAGAGCTCAACTCTATGGCGGTGAGGTTCATATCATAGTGAACTGACCGGATTCAGAATCACCAAGACAGGTGTTCTGGTGTGTCTGTGAAAGTGATTTGGGAAAGGGTAAACTGAGGCAGGAGGACTCTGCCTGTATGTGGATGGCCCATGCTGTGAGCTGGGACCGGGACTAAATAGAAGGAGAGTCAGCTGAGCATACAAGTCTCCGGTGCTCTGTGTCCTGATCCACCTGGATGGGACCAAGCAGCCTTCTATTTCTGCTGCCACAGCTGAGAGCCACTCCCACCACCATGTCATTCTTCATGATGGAAGACTACACCCTTCCGAAAGGTGTAGAAGACTACACCCTACACGGGCCGAAAGAAAGTTGTTGACTCTTACGTCGCTTCTCCCTGATACTCTGGCCCAGCCTCCCTTAGTGTGTAAATAAGCACCTGCAGATCCCCACGGCCCAGTTAGGAAGAACAAATTACTCCCCCGTAGCTCTGTCTTCCATCTCCACCCTCTTTGCTGCTGACTCTGGTATCCAGTGTCCATTTGCCAAGCACTTCCCAGAAAAAAAAAAATAAAATGATCAAGCCCATTCAGC